TTCTCTCCCTTCCTCTCTCCTTCTCTCCCTTCCTCTCTCAAAATCTCCATTATGAAATTTTATGATAATATGATTTGGTGTGGATCTATTTTTCTTCATTATGCTGACTAGTCCTTTGAATTTAAGAGAAGTCATACTCTTTAATTTTTGGAAATTCTATTGAATTATTTTTTACTATTTCCCCTGTCATTTTTCTCTGTTATCTTATTTCTGGAAAACATCTCATTTAGATGTAGAATTTTCTGGATTGCTGTTTCTTACTGTTTCTATTCTTTCTGTTATACTTTGAGTGTATTTTCTCTCTTTCATCTTTTGACCTCAAAATTGAGGTTTTCTATATTTTTGCCATCATATTCTTAATTTCTGAGGAATTTTTTCTTTTCCTTTGTCTCATGGATAGATTTTCTTAACTTTTCTTTCCAAGGTGGTAGTTTTGTTTTTTGAAATTTTCTTAGAATGAGTTTTCTTTATATTTTTTTATGTTTGCTACAAGTTTTCTGTTTTACAATATTCTCTCCTAAATCTTTGAGTGCATTACATATTTTTGCCTGCTAATCTCTTCCAAATTACCTGCTTGTAGTTGGTTTTCATCTGTTCCTTAATGTTAACTGTGTTCAGGTGAAGGTTAATCCTCTGTTTACTCTTCATGTTTAAGGGAAGGGTACAAAAAGCTTGTGGGTGGGACTTACCAACTGAGTTTCCTTTCATGGTAAGTGACAGTGACCTTGCTGAGTTTATTGTTGGTAGTTCTCATGTTGGTATCTTTAGTTCCTCATGGACTGGTCAGATTTTTGAGAAAAGATTTCTTATTTCCTGTGTGGAAGATAAAAGACCTTTTAACAGCATTCTTTAAGCTAAGCAGAAGAAAGGCCATTCAAAAAGCATGTATTCACTCGATCACCCTTAGTTTGGGACTGTGCCCTTTTTTGTGACTGTAATTGGTGTTCCATATTCCAGAGATACTTCTTTTACTTTCTCCAAAGAATAAAACTAGTTGTCTGTTGGGGTAACAAAAAGTGTGGCACTAAGAAAAGGATCTATGGATGACATTGTTTCATAAGTAGCTTTCATCTATTCCTCCTTCTCTTGGACACTACTTCCCTCCCACCCCCCATCACCATCTTTTCCAGAGGTACCTGATGCTGTTAATTCCTGAGCCTTTTGAAGATTCTGCAGAGTAAGTCCTCCTGCTTCTTGGCTTTCCTTATCACCAGCTTAAGATTCAGTTTTCTCAGATCTGTTAAGTCAGTTACCACTTCACCTGTTTTTTAGATTCCAAAATTAATTCTGTTGCTGCTGACTCCTGCATTTTTCCTGTTCTTATGTTTTGTGCTTTAAAAAAAAAAAAAGCTTTTATTGTAGCTTTAGTGGTGTTTGTGAGGTAAAAAGTGTGTGATCAAGGCCCAGATGTCCTGACAAACTTCTACTAAGCTTTTAATGAATATTGGAGATAAAGAGTTTGAAAACATACCTGAAATGTAGATAGCTAGTTCTGTTCATTAAAGGCAAATGTCATCATCATCACTAACTTTATATGTGAAGGGCATTAATTTTCTCATTTACTTCTCGTATTCTTATGAAAAGGTACCATCTAAGATGTTACCATCCACAATGAAGCTATAGGTCCCTGAAGTCTATTCCATATCAGAGGTGTAGCCCAAATATCAACTTAGCACCTTACGGGCAGTGGATAGAAGTGTAAGTTGCAGGAATGGTCAGGCCCTGCAACCTTGATGGCAGCTCCATGGGTGATTTCTACTATCCTGGCTACACCATTTTAGAGATTCATGTTTTAGTGATAAGCCAAAAGATTGTTAGGTGCTGGTTGTATGTTGTGGTTTCTGACTTAGTAGCGAGGTGCTGCGAACTTAAAGCTGGGTGAATGGGATGTGATGAATTACCCTTTTATTTTCCCTTTGGTTAAAGCTGAAGGAGTTGAAGAATCTGCAGCAACAATACTTACAGATTAATCAAGAAATTAATGAGTTACGTCCACTGAGGGCTCAACTTCAGGAGTATCAAGATAAGACAAAAACATTTGAGGTTATGCAAGAAGAGCTCAGGCAGGAAAATCTCTCCTGGCAGCATGAGCTGCATCAGCTCAGGTATGATAATTCCTCCTTTTTGACTCTTTCCTTTTCATTTTCTTTTAACTTATTTTGAAATAATTGTAGACTTATAGAAAGTTGTAAAAAACAGTACTGAAAGTTACTATGTAACCTTCCCCAGTCTCTTCCAGGGGTAGCAACTTTCATAACTCTAGTATGTTATTAAAATCAGAAAATTGACATTTGTACAATCCACAGACCATGTTCAGATTTCTCCAGTTTTACCCACACTCATTTAAATGTTTGTCTTTTTAGTTCTATGCAGTTTTGTCATATATGTAGATTCATGTAAGCCCACCACAACCAGTATGCAGAACTGCTCATCACAACATACACATTTTTAGAAAGGAAAAACTGTATTAAATTTGTATACTCAAGTCATGTTTGACTTCTGCAATTATGAGGTGCTCAGTGTGACTTGCATTCGTCTTTTGTTATTAGAATATGTTAAGGAAAGGAAATCAACAGATTACAGCACTGAAGTGACAAAGATGTTGGAATTATATGACAAAGTTTTATAACAGCCATCATAGAAATGCTCCAACAAGCAATTACTAACACATTGGAGAAAGTATAGAAATCCCAGCAAAGAAATAGAAGGTATAAAGAAGAACTGAATGGAAATTTTAGAACTGGAAAAATACAACATTCAAAAGCTAACTCAATGGGCTCAATAGCAGAATAGAGGAAAAAATCAGAGAAATTGAAGATAGAACAATAGAAAATACCAAATATGAACAATAAAGAGAAAATTATTGAATTGTATTTTATCAAATTAAAAGGACTGTCTCCTACATTTCTAAAGTTTACTGTATATATTCATATTTGTACCTTTTGCTTCGTTTGTTCCCTGAACATGGAATTACTTTTCTCATTATGGAAAATGGACTCATTGTTTTGGGTTCTAGACCAACTGACAGCTTTTCTATGAAATCTTTCCAGTTCTGCCAACTGGAGTTCTTTTTTTAGTTCTGTATCATCATCTTGCTGCACAGTTCTATTTATAATATAAATTTCACTCTGCTTTGATTTTCTCTAACAGCTCATAGCACTGTTTTGAATATGGAACTATTCACCTTTACTCTCACAAGGATATTTTACCTGTGATTATGTCATGTCTGTTCTAGAATGGAGAAGAATTCCTGGGAAATGCATGAGAGGAGAATGAAGGAGCAGTACCTTCTGGCTATCTCAGATAAAGATCAGCAGCTCAGTCATCTGCAGAATCTTATGAGAGAAATGAGGTCTTCTACCTCTCAGACTCAGCCCCACAAAGTGCAATACCAAAGACAGGTGAGTGACTTCAATGCTGATTGCTACTCAGAGATAACTACTACCCAGAAAGTGTCAGCTTTCTATGTGTGCAAATTAAGTGCCCATCTGTCACTAGTAGTCAAGCTATTATGACTTCCTAGGGGGTGGACAGAGTTTCTAGAGCAGGTGTCCTCAAACTATAGCCCGTGGGCCACGTGTGGCCCACCTAGGACATTTATCCAGCCCGCCGGGTGTTTTTGCCGCACTGCCTGTCCTGCTTAGCAGCTGACTCGTCCCGGGGCCCGCAGTCTGGCCCTCCAATGGTCTGAGGGACAGTGAACTGGCCACCTGTTTAAAAAGTTCAAGGACCCCTGCTCTAGAGGAAAGAAATTAAGCATGAGCAATCTTAGGAGAAAATTTCATCAATGTTTGTATCTTGGCAGGCATCCCCAGCTTCCCTAGATGGGTCACAAAACCTAGTTTATGAGACAGAACTTCTTAGAACCCAGCTCAATGACAGCTTAAAGGAAATTCACCAAAAGGAATTAAGAATTCAGCAACTAAATGGCAAGGTAAGTGTTTCCTGCCAGACTGGAGTTCAGCTGCTTTTTTTCCATGGCTGAAAGCAAGAAGGCAAGTAGAAGCTGTCTCAGCATAGGCTGTAAGCATATCTGAGGGTGTAGAAGTTTCACCTTTCTCAAAAGCTGGACTGCTTATTCCAAAGCCTTGAACACAGGGTCATTTCCTGTTCCTTGCTCTTAAATAGTACTTGGGAATGATTTGGAGAAATTCATACAGTTAGAGTAAAAAAGCCAGCTACTTAAGGAAGCCTTCGTCCTCCATCTATCACTTGTTAGCAATGTTGAGGTTGTTCTCCACCCTACCCTCTTATGAATCACTATCCTCCTGCTGCACAGCAGTCTCCAGTGATCCAGTGATGCCTCCCCTAGTTCTGCCCTCTTCACAAATAGGCTATGATAAAACCAGTAGAGATTTAAAAGATCAGTCACAATCTGGAGTTCAGAGATTGACTTTGAGGAGAGCCCCCAAATTGTATGCATAATAGTATATGTATAGTGTGTATTTGTCATTACAAGAACTCATAAGTTCACCAAGGGGTCTGTGATCCAAAAATTGTAAAGATCAGGAGGCCATTTGCACAGATGAGGAAAAAGGCCCAGAGGTATTAAGTGTCTTGCCTAGAGTGTTAGGAGGAGGTCTGAGATACGTGTGATCATGTGTATAGAGAAGCACAGTGCCTGCCATGTATAGAAGGTACTTACTAAATGTTGTTAAATTCAGCTAGTTGACACTGATGTTAATACTATTAATAATAGTACTATTGTTAACTATTAACTTGGCTAATACTATTAACTTGGAGGCTAATACTATTAACTTGGGAAAGATATTTTCATTTTTTAAAGTTTACAGCTCCAAATGAATCAGTAAAATTACAGACCCTCTGTTGGGAGTTTATCTGAGAGTTTTGGTGGGACTTCAGCGCAGCTTCCACCCAGTTCACTTTCCAGCTAGTAAGCTATTTCCAGAAGTTCCACTCTTCAAAGCCCACTACTTATTTTCATAAATTATGGCCCATCTGAACCCTGTTACATTTACTCTCAAAACATTAAATAGACTAAGAATCATGCTGGACATTTGACTCTGTAGGACAGTGTTTTAAACTGAAATTCAGGACTATCAGAAGATGATGAAATCATTTTGATGGGTTGTAACTAAAAAAAAAGTAAATGTTTTGTTGAAGTAAAACATACAGAAAAGTACACAAATCATAAGTTTGGTATAGCATATTTTCATGGAGTAAATACACCTGCATAACCAGCATTCAGATCCAGAATCAGGCAGGGCACAGTGGCTCACACCTGTAATCCCAGCACTTGGGAGGCTGAGGCAGGTGGATTGCCTCAGCTTATGGGTTTGAGACCAGCCTGAGCAAGAGTGAGACCTGTCTTTAAAAATAGCTAGACATTGTCCCAGTCCCAGCTACTTGGGAGGCTGAGGCAAGAGAATCACTTGAGCCTAAGAGTTTGAGGTTGCTGTGAGCTATGATGCCCCGGCACTCTACCAAGGGTGACAAAGTGAGACTCAAAAAAAAAAAAAAAAGACTCAGAGCATACTAGAACCCAAGAAGTCCCTGTGTCATCTTCTGTTCATGAGCACCCCCTTAGAGTTCCCTAAAAATGGAGTCATATCTTCTCTTTTGTGTTGCATTTTTTGTGAGAGTCATACAATGTTGTTGTATATAATATGATTTCTGTATTCTCATGCTGTATTGCATTTTAGGCATATACCGTAATTTCTCTGTTGTACTGTTAAAGGACATTTGGGTTTTTCTAGCTTTGGGCTATTATAAATAGTACAACCAATATTTTTAGAAAATGAAAGAAACACGGTAAAAAAATATGTATGTAATATATAATAAAGAATATATCTTATTTTGACAATCTTTAGGGGGATTTTTGTCTTGTTTTTTTTTTTTTTTGAGACAAGGTGTCACTGTGTTCTCTGGGCTAGAGTGCAGTGGCATCATCATAGCTCATGTCAAATTCCTGGGCTCAAGCAATCCACCTGCCTGAGCCAGTCGTTGGGATTATATAGGTGTATGATACCACACCTACTCAATTTTTCTGGCTTGTTTTATAGAGCCTGGATCTTACTGTATTGTTCAGGCTGGTGTCAAACTCTTGGCCTCAAATGATCCTTCTGTCTTGGCTTCTCAGAGTACTGTGATTACAGGCCTGAGCTTCTGTACCCAGACTAGTTTTAATTATATATATTTATATATTGGGTTCTAAGTCATAATCAAAATCAAATATTTTTAACAACTTTGTTGAGATATACTTCCACTTAAAGTGTGAGAAACATTGCCTTGATCACTGTCATTCTCAGTAAGAAACTGTTCTTCCTTTAGAGCACAACTATAAGAAAGGTACCTCCCTCCCTAGCCTTATTCATTCACAGAACAACTATTTTTTCCCTTCTATGAGCCTGGCCACTTGCTAGGTACTGGGGAAACATGTGGTCTCTCATGAAGCTACTTGAAGCTCATGAGTTTAGTCTCACTCTAAATGGGTTGCAGCTAACTAGGAAAATTGCTTCTTAGGCCGTAGAATGAGATTATGGTAGATGGACTATTAGTATAGAAAGTGTTCTTCTTGAAGCCACTGCTCTAATTTTTAACTTGGTTGCTCAGACTTTATACAGAGGGTGCCAAAAAAAAATGTACACACATTTTAAGAGATGTTATCTGTGTGATACTTTTCAAAGTTGAATTGAAGGTACTGTTCCTGGCCAGTGCACCTAGACATGCCACGTGCATCCATTTTACCTGCAATTCCCACACTTTGGGCCATGATTGATTTTACCTCTAACAAGATCTCTTAAAATTTGTAAGATATTTTGATGCCCCCTGTATGTACAGTTGGCCCTCTGAACCTGTGGATTCCACATTCACAATTCAATCAATTGGAGATTGAAAATTTTCAGGAAAAAAAGAATAGAAAAACACAGATTTTTTAAAAAAATAATATAACAACTATCTACACAGCATTTACATTGTGTCAGGTATTATAAATAATCCAGAGGTAATTTAAAGTATATAGAAGGATGTGTGTACATTACATGTAAATATTACACTATTTTGTATCAGGGGTTTGAGTATCCCCAGATTTTGGTGTCCTGTTGTGGGAGTTGGAAGCCTAGAACTAATACACCCTGGATAACAAGGGATGACCATATTTCTGCTCGCATGGTTGGCTTTTTGTATGTAATGAAAAAGTTTGCTAGAAACTTAAAAGCATGAGAGGGATAGTGAAAGAAGGTAGTTCAAATAGTTCCCTCCCATTCTGTTTTTCCAAGAGTAAATGCCATGAACTATAGTAGTGTATGAGCTAGAGGAGAGGTTGGAAAATGTTTCCTTTACTGTTTCCAGACAGTAAACATTTTAGATTTGTAGAGCATATAGTCTGTGTTACAACTACTATCCACTGCAGGTGTAGCCACAGACAATGCATAAAGGAATGGGATGGCTATGTTTCAGTAAAACCTTCTTTACAATAAAAGGGTGCAAGGCCCTGGATCATAGTTTACCAGCCCCTAAACTAGAAGGACCTATGTTTACCATATATAAGCAGAATAACACATCTATAAAGGGTGGTTTATACAAGGGTAGCTTATTATAAGTGGTTAAACTTCTCTAAAGAGAGTTTTTGCTTTTTCAATGAGTTTTACAGTTCTGATCTTTCATCTCTAGATTGGCTAGAGGAAAAGGTATTAGGATTTTTCCGACACTGAGGAATGTTTTGTTTTTAGCGTGGTTTGGACTGTTCATTGCAGCCAGGAGAATTAATTTCCTTCTAGGTTAGGAAAGAAACATGTTACTCTCTGTCTTCGGATCTAGTAGTTGTCATTGAACCCAATTACCTTTATCTTCAAATTAGTATTACCCTCAAACATCTATATCCCACCCCCAAACTCCATGACTGTCTTAGCTTCAATTACTGGACTCTTAGATGGGACATTATCAGGTATTAGATAGAGCTCTGGACTTGGAATCAAGAAGCACATTTAGTCCTGGTTTGACATCTCCTGGCCACATGTCTTAGTACATTTAGTGTTGCCATAATGGAATATCTGAGGCTGAGTAATTGATAAAGAAAAGAGGTTTATTTGGCTCATGATCCTGCTGGCTGGGAGAATGAGCATCTGGTGAAAACTTCAGGCTGCTTCCAATCATGGTAGAAGGTAAAAAAGAACCTATGTGTGCAGAGATCACAGGGCAAGGAAGGAAGCAAGAGAGGAAGGGGGGTGGTACCAGGATCTTTTAAATTAAAGCTCTCATGGAACTATTAGAGCAGGAACTCATTCATGCCCTCCCTGCCCCCAGGCCGACATTAGTCAGTTCTCTAAGGATTTTCTCCCAGGACCTAAACACCACCCATTAGGCCCCACCAACTATATTTGGAATCATAACATGAGATTTTAAAGGGACAAACATCCTACTATAGCACTGTATGGCCTTGGACAAGTCACTATTCTTCTTCTTCTTTTTTTTTTTTGGTTTGTCATTTATAAACAGGGACAAAAATCCTTTCTCTGTCTCTCTCAAATAAGGTGATACTTGTGAAAGTACTTTGTAAACTTAATGTTGCTCTTCAGAATGATAAGACACAAAAATAACCATATGTCTGAAGATTAATTTTCAACTTACAGAGCACTTTCATGAGTATGTATGGATTCTCTTGTTCTAATTTTCTGTATCCATCATACCCTTTCCCAAAGTGTCTCTAAAAAACTATTTCTCTTCTCTAAAACATTGATTCAGGTTCGGCACCTGTGGCTCAAGTGGCTAAGTCACAAGCCATATACACCTGGGCTGGTGGGTTCGAATCTATCCTAGGCCTGCCAAACAACAATGATGGCTGCAACCAAAAAAATTAAAAAATAGCCAGGCATTGTGGCAGGTGCCTATAGTCCCAGCTACTTGGGAGGCAGAGGCAGGAGAATCGCTTGAGCCCAGGAGTTGGAGGTTGCTGTGAGCTAGGATGCCATGGCACTCTATCCAGGATGACAGTTTGAAGCTCTGTCTCAAAATAAATAAATAAATAAATAAAAATGAAACATTGATTCAACTTTTTAACACAAATACTTATAAAAAAGAATCCTCAAGTCATGGCTGAGTATGCAGTCAGGAGCACCAGTTTCCTCTCATATAATGTACAGGTCCAAGGTACTTTGGGGACACGTTTGTGGTTGTTATTGTATCTGGGTGTTAATCATAACTAAACTTAAAATTTGACAGCATGCAAGTAAGGAATTGGGATTACACTTCCAGAATTCAAATCAATGGGTATAAGCTGCAGTAGTAAAGTTTTTTAATGAAAATTTATATTGAATGATATAAAAAATTTTCTGGGTTTTGCATCCTAAAGAATGGCATGGAATTGCTTTGTCAATGAGAAACACTGACCATGTTGAGAGAAAGACTGAATAATTGCCCATTATTCGTGCAGTAGAGGATAATCCTGCCTTGAGTCATGGAAATGTTTCCTACCTATGAGAATCTATGCTCCCAATAGAGTTTACTATATGTACACACTTATGTTGGAATTTATTCTGTTTCTCCCTCCTTCCACATATTATAATTCCTCATTTTACTCTTCACAGCATTAAGGAATCTGCCCAGTAATATTTCTGTACACTTTTTTAGATGACAGCTCTCTCTCTCTGGCTGTATTTGTGTTCTGGGGATTACAGTCATTTGTTAGTACCATAAACTTGGATTTACTTGGCTACTGCCTCTCAAGTACCTGGGAGGGCCTATTCTATCAGACTGCTTATGGGTTTTTGCTTCATAGATTTTTAGTTTATTCACTAGGCATCATGAAACAAAAGTTTCCTGCTACTCCTTCAGAATTATTTTCCTTTCTTGTTCAAAAAAAATTTGTATTTTTCTCACTTTGAAGGAACACACAATGTTGTTGTTTCTATTGTTGAAATAAAAGTCTTACCTAAGGAAATTAGATCCTTAAAACTCACGGACAGTTAGCTCATCACGGCTTATGGTGAAAGAGTTCTTAGGATGGTGCTTATCCTCTCCTCTGTTTCAGTTCTCTCAGCTACTGGAAGAGAAAAACACCCTTTCCATTCAACTCAGTGATACTAGTCAGAGTCTTCGTGAGAACCAACAGCACTACAGTGACCTTTTGAATCACTGTGCAGTCTTGGAGAAGCAAGTTCAAGAGCTGCAGGTGGTGAGTAAGAAGAAGGGGAGAAGCTCAAAGAAATAATGAGAGTGGCATGGTGAAGCGTAAAGAACTGTGGGAGAGTAGGAGAGAAAGAGGGTGTTAATTGAGATGAGAAAAGATCTGAGAAAAATTACAGAGTTAAAAGATTAGAAGAAAAAAATCAATGAGATGGGGGGAGAGAAATCAAAGAGTGAGAAATAGTGACTAGATTACCAAGGTTTTTGGAACTCTGAAACTGAGAAAGTGTTGTTTTTACTTTAATAAGAAAATTGTAGGAAGATCTGGACCTGAGAAACAAAACAGGCAGCACTGTTGACAGCAGTGGCGAGGAGAATAGTGCTGAAGTTGGAGGAGACCGAGATGGCTGTGGAGATGAATAAAATAGGAAGGAGAAAGAGTTTGGGGGTCGGAGAACAGTAAAGATCAGAGTAGCATCTGGAAAACCCGTGAGCATCTGCTAGAAAAAAGCAGACTTCAACAGTAAGGCTTTCAGCTTTGAAGAGGAGAAATTCAAGGATAAGAATCTGAAAGGAAAATCTAACCAAGGCAAGAGTTTTATATAGGTGATTACCTGGCTAGAGTGGAAGCTTCTCACATCCAAATCTGGGCTTAAGGAGAATTTTAATCAGGGATAGTCTTTTCCATGATTCTCATTCTCTCTGATGTTCAATAAGTTCTTGTTTTGCTCAAGTACACTTTTGAGATTTCATCAAAATTACTAAGCTTATTCTTCTTTTAGGGGCCACTAAATGTAGATGTTGCTCCAGGAGCTCCCCAGGAAAAGAATGGGGTTCACAGAAAGAGTGATCCTGAAGAACTGAGGGAGCCACAGCAAAGGTAGGGGGTGGGCCTCTCCACCCTGGAGCATATTCTCCATGCACAGAAGGTGGGTGGTCAGGAGTGAGGCTGCAGTGAACTATAATCAGACCTGCACTCTAGCCTGGGTGACAGGGCACGACCCTGTCTCTTAAAAAAAGAAAAAATTAAGAAAGAAAGGGAGAAAGACAGGAAAGAAAAGAAAAAGGAAAGGAGAGAAAGAAGAAAAAAAAAAGAAAGAGGGACAGTAGTCTAGATAGAACTGATGTCCATAGAAGGGATTTACTGTCTCTTCTTATTGTACTGGCCTCACAGAAGTGAGTTAAGAATTAAATGGTATCTGTAATTAACCATCATATGAAAAGGTTGTGAAGCAAAACAGCAATGCTAATATACATATACCACTAATAAATATTCTGGTATTAAAATGAAAGACAATCAGTTCCCAAAATCTCTTAAGATGTTTTCTGTAGCTTCACTTAATCTCTCCGTAGCTATGCTTTTAAGATATTTGTGTTCACACAAGCTTCTATAAATTTTTCTGTTTTATAACCTTGTGAAGACTTGGAATCTCTTATATTAGCAACTGTGTTGTGCATCTAGTGATACTGTTTGTTTTCTTTTTATCCTGAAGCTTTTCTGAAGCCCAGCAGCAGCTGTCCAACACTAAACAGGAAGTGAGTGAATTAAGGAAGCTGCTGGAAGAAGAACGAGACCAAAGAGTGGCTGCTGAGAACGCCCTCTCTGTGGCTGAGGAGCAGATCAGGCGGTAAAGACTGAGGGAGATGGCCTCTGTTCACTTCTGACCTTTTCTATGCCTTTCAGTGGCCAGTCACAGGTCACGTTGGGGCAGGGTAGGCTTTCCTTGAAGAAGAACCTCTCTTGCCAAACTGGAGCATTGTGCTTTTTGTGGGCAGTTTGCCCCTAATGTGGTTTGGAAGGTTAGAGCCAATGCATCCCTAGGTCCTTATTCCCAATACACCCAAGTCATGAGACTCGCTATGCATGAAAGAGTAGAGAGTAGCTACAAGTTTTTTTGCTGCTAGATGTCCTTTTACATGGAAAGAAACATTAAAAGCAGGCATTTTTATTATATCTGTGGAGGAAAAGTCACCAATGTATATTGTCTTTTCCTCAGAGATTGGCATTTGTGATATTAACGCCTTCTTGCAAAGCTTAATTGTCAGGGATGTGAGAAGGTTTTATTTCAGATACAGCATATTTCTTACCCAGCATACTTACAGCTTCTTAATTTTCATCACCCATTTAAAATGGGTATGCACTTTGAGGTTGGGCTGTCTGGGAACACAGCGGTCTTATGGGGTATCTTTTTCCAGGCCAGTGTGCCCGTGGCTCGCTGTCTTCCACTTGCTGTGTAATTGTTTAGGCCTGGTGAAACCTGGCGCCTGGGGAGGTTAATCTCCTTCATGTGTGATTAAAGGTGACTGAGACCCAACCGCAGGTGACTCCCAAGCCTGTGGACATTCTGTGTTAATCCGAGCTTACCCTCCTGTGGTTCCCTCTTTGGCCCTGATGCAGAATGGAGATTGGGGTAGCTATTATAATTTAAGTGCTGCTCACCCAGGCCAGGCATTGCCATCTTAATGTTTGAACTTCACATATGCTCTGTAGTGTCTGTGGAACTCAGTGGCCTTGCAGTTTAAGAGCAGCTAATACTATTTATCTCATCAGTACCTACAGCCCTCTCATCCTTCATCAGCCTAACCTACAGGAGTTGACAGACTGACCTCCATAGTAACAGACCTTGCTGTTCCAGATCAAGGCTGCCTCTGAAAAGCTTATCACATGGAGGAATAGATACAAGGTGTGCCATGCACTCATCCTGGCTCTTAAGAGGGAAGCAGGCAGGCAGGAGCTAGGCCATGCATGCTATTTCTCTTTCCAGACTCACAAATCAGATTGAGGTATTCCTTCTGTCCTGGAGAAAAGAATGTGATCTGCAAAGAAAGGCCAGGAATATTAGGCTAATGGATATCTCTACATGAGGAGTAGAGGAAAGAGTTCCATCCTCCCTACTCCACTTAAAAAGTACATCCCTGTAAGGTAAATGTCTGATCACATGTGCTATGTCACCTGCAGATCCTTTGTTTCAATTTGTCGGAAACTATTGAGTGAAGACTGTCAGCTGCTTCACTAAATGTGGAAGCTCCAGTATTAAAAAACATAAGCAAATCCGCAAAAAAAGTGGCAGAGAAACAGTAGAGGCTGCCAGCTGAGTTTAGTCTAAGAATCCCACAAAAATCTTTCCAGGTTACTTTTGCCTAATAGCCTTTAATAAATGAAAAAAAAATTATGAGTTTCTACAATTCAACTGTAGTACGCTGAAAAGAAAGAGTAGGAGGCTTAGACAAACCTAACCTGGATATTGAATTCTGGCTCTGCCACTTACTGACTGTGCTGCCATGGGCAAGTCATTTAACCTCGTTAAGCCCTGCCACGTTAAAGATGATAACACCAACCTCAAAAACTGAGGATTAAATGTGTGTAAAACAGCTAACCCAGCACCTGACACATAGCAGGCAGTCAATTTCTAGTAGTTTTTATTACCTTTCACTGCTGCTAAACGAAACCTATCTGCCAGTACACTCCTTGTATGGGAGCGGGGACCTGCCTTTGCTGCAAGTCTTCTGTGCTGCCTCCCATGGCAGATGTCTGAGAAGACATTAGCTCTCATGCTGTGAACCAATACTATGCCTCTTTATTTTTTCAACACAGGTTGGAGCATGGTGAGTGGGACTCTGCCCGGACTCCTATCCTTGGCTCCTGTGGCAGTCAGGAGCAATCAGTGTTAATAGATATTACAAGCAACAGTTGTCGAAGGGTAAGAAAGGAGAAAGGACAAAGAGAGGGTGTTCTCCTAATAGATAGGGCTGGCTATCTGGGGGGCCAGGAGTAAAAGAGAAGGAATATCGAAATCCAGCTACTAAGCACCTGATGGGTCTGAGACTGGAAGAGTGTGGAAGATTGAGGAATCTGGTGGAATTTGCCAAGTTGTTAGCCCTGAAAGACTTCCTCCCCCCCCTTTTTTTTTTTACCCATTTTCTGTAGTGGTTGAATCAGCTTTACTTAAATGTGAGATTACTGGGGGGAAAGGGGGAGGAAGGAACATATTCCTATGGCGTGAAAACTCTCTGACTTTAGATTTTTCTTTCAGACCCGAACTGGTGCTGGATGGAAGCGGGTCCTGCGTTCACTCTGTCATTCTCGGACCCGAGTGCCACTGCTGGCAGCCATCTACCTTCTGATGGTTCATGTCCTACTCATTCTGTGTTTCACAGGCCATCTATAGACTTAGTTACTTTTTGGACCACTGCCCTCAGAACTTGGAATTCCTTCACTTCTAATGTCAGAACTGTCAATTCCATTGGAACAGTCTTCCCACTTTACTCTCCATGTAAAGAACCTGCAAAAACAGAGGTGGATATGGAGCTGCAGGGAATTTGCTTTCTTCTACTGCCCTGGGCTGGAACCCTTTTACTTAATCTGAGAAACCTCACATTTGGTTTTCTCAGCCTGATATTTGTTGGGATTTTGTAGAGCCCTGATCTTTTTTAAGACCTATAAAAAGTACTGAAGAATGTCTTTCACCCAAGCCAAGAGGATGTTTTCAATAAACCTAACAATCTAAAGTCCAGTATCATTTTGATTGATAACTTCGTTTGCCTTGTTTGCCTGTATTTTCTCTTCCTTTCAGGGCAAGGTAGCTCTGTGATAGACAAAATTCAAGGGAATGAACACATCTCCTCAAAGGACATGTGATTAGGTCTCTTGCAGAATAGGGTGGGAGCTGAAGAACTCCCTGAGGGTCTTAGCTATTGGTCACAGGAGAGAAAAGCGTCTTCTCTGGGTGTTCAGGCATAATTGGAGTGAGGATTTGTGGTCCTGCACTGTAAAGACAGAATCCCATTCCATGTATACTGAAGTGTGTTTGTTTTTTTTTAATTTTGTTTTTTGAGACAGTCTCACTTTGTTGCCCTTGGTAGAGTGCCATGGCATCATAGCTCCTAGCAACCTCAAACTGTTGGGCTCAAGTGATCCTCTTGCCTCAGCCTCCCAAGCAGCTGGGACTGCAGGTACCCATCATAATGCCTGGCTATTTTTAGAGACGGGGTCTCGCTCTTACTCAGGCTGGTCTGGAATGCCTGAGCTCAAGCAATCCACCCGCTTCGGCCTCCCAGAGTGTTAGGATTACAGGCGTAAGCTTGGTATATACTGAAGTTTGAAATGGCCCTTCACTGAAAGGCAGGAAGATCTAGCTACAGACAGCAGGATTCAGATTCATGGCACTTCTGTGCTATCTGGATATGCCTGAAGGTGGGCCCTGAGACAATGCTTTGGGGCCAGGAGGAGCCAATCCTAGGTGAGGCATTAACTCCAAGCTAGAAACCAGGACCTCTTGTCCCTGCACCTCTTAGCCTCTTAAAGTACTAAGCTACTTTGCTGTTGGTGACATTTCACTTTCTCTGCCCCATAGCTTTGGTAATGGAAGGAGGATATAGAGAAGAGAAAATATTTAAATCTAGACTTGAAAAGGACATTCAGGATTGAATTCTATTTGTGCCTCTTCTTCCCTGCCTCCTCTCCCGCCCCCGACCCTTACCAGTTTGTTATTTTCTTATTATGTACATGATATGTTCCATCCCTATTCTTACCACCCAAAGAGAAAAGACTGGTGGGCTGACTGATCTGCTCTAAATCATGGTTCTATGGTGATTAAATCTTGGTCACAGCATTCCAGGAACTTTCCTGAATAACTGTAAAATAATAAAATTATTTTCAGAATGAAAAGTTGTGGGATGTGTGTGAATGTATGTGTACCCAGGTGCTTACATACCTGTGTCTGCATGCTGGGGGAGGATGGTAGGGGAAGCGGAGCTGGGGTAGCCAGGAATGCTTACAGGAGTAGAAAGGGCTCATCTTCAGGCTTCCTTCTCACACTGGGAATGGCTGCATGCATCCTTCTAGGCTAGCCACTCAACCCCAGGGTGATGGGTATAGTGAGGAAATTCTGTCTTTAACACTAAGCCAAACAGGCTGGGCCTCTGTGCATGAAATTCACACCAGATCATGTATGATCCTGGAATAACTCTTGTATTTATCAAAAACACTAAGTCCCTAGATCCTCCGAATGGGAATGGGAGAAGTGAAGTTTAATAGCATATAGCAGGCTAGCTAGACATTACGTTCTTAGTATTAAGTTGCTACTTGAGAAAACTCATGAATGTACAGTAAGTGGCTTAATTGAACTAAGTCTATCTGGCTTTAATGCCCATTCTATTTTTGTGTGCCACACTTCACTACCTCATCAGGAATGAACTTGGAACATTTGTAAGGGGATATGTGTTTCTTGGTATCATCTCCAGTTACATTTTGTGGTTTCTCTAGGGAACTGGGTACCTGGTGGTGTGTCTAATATCTATTTTACACTGCATTGGGATTTCAAATGATCCCAAGCCTTTTATATTTATCCCTTCTGTGAACTTAGTCTTCCTTAAGTTTGGTGCCACTGTATTTATCAGGTCAGGCAGTAGGAGAGAGAAATAAAACTCCCCCAGGCATAGAATCTTTAGGTTTGGAAGTGGCTTTAGACTTCCTGTTCCTAGTGCAGAAATGCCCTCCTATGTATCATGGACCAATTTCATATAGTCATACTTCAACCCTTTGGGGAGCTCACTGCTATGAGCAAATCGTGTCAGAACTACACATAGTCAAGATTAGGAAAGGTGAGGTCAGATACAAGAACAAAACGTTTCTAAATTCTCAGTAACTGAAATAACGAAGGATATTTTTTAGTCAAGGACTCCAAGTCTCATATGGTGGATGGGGCTCTACTTGAGTTATCACTCAGGGATCCCAGGCTGGGAATTTCAGGTTGCCTTGGGGGTAGTGAGGGAAGGGTGAGGTAGAGCTTGCAGTGTTCTTAAAGTCTACACCAGAAAGTGACACCTGTCAGTGGCCAAAACAAATCACTAAGCAAGTCTGACTTTAAGAGGGACAGGCAGAGCAGCAAATCTTTTTTTTTTTTGAGACAGTCTCACTATGTCACCCTCTGTAGAGTAATGTGGCATCACAGCTCACAGCAACCTTAAACTCTTGGACTTAAGTGATTCTCTTGCCTTACCCTCCCTAGTAGCTGGGACTGCTACAGGCGCCTGCCACAATGCCTGGCTATTTTTTGGTTGCAGTTGTCATTGTTTAGCTGGCCTGGGCTGGGTTTGAACCCGGCAGCCTCCCGGTATGTGGCTGGGTATGTGGCTGGCGCTCTACCCACTGAGCTATGGACGCTCCTGAGAGCAGCAAATGTTGATGAACCAGTAGTACAGGACACCATAAAGGCCTTCCTTCAGCTGGTTACCACCTGCTTCTTTCAGAATTCTTCCTCCTGTCTGGAGCCAAGTCTTCTAGCAGTTAGCACAGACTCCATGCTGCCCCCAGGTAAGCTATGGACCCTTTCTTCTACACGTCTTGCCTTTTTTTCTGGCAAGTTGCTCCCTTCTGACATTCAATTGATCAATGTTTATTTGAACATCTACTATAAGCAAACCCACCTTTAAATACTGTGGATAATGTAGCAGTGAGTTTCATTTTAAATCTTACCCTTCAAAATCACTTTTCCCATCAAACCTTTCTTCATCACTAGAACCCACACCAAATGCTCTGAATACCTTTACAAATGCAACTGCCCACCTATGTAGGACACAGATGCTGCTCTATAGCATTCTCTGATGTGTTTTCTGGTTAAAAGTTTGTTTCTCTGACTGGGTCACAAATTCAGAATAAATGCAGCTTTTTCTATGACTGTTTCATGACCCTCAACCTCAAAACCTTGCAAAAGACAAGCCACGGGGACATTTAATCCTTTTTTAATTTAAGTACCTAAAGCAGAAGGAACTGACTCAAACTTCAGGAAGTAAGTGTGAGGACAGGGTAGCAGGAAATGACAGAAAACCTGAATACGGAACTGAAGCAGCAGCTCCGAGTTCCTTGCTCTGAAGTGGCAGTCAGAGAGGGAGTCAGGCGAGGACGTGAGGAGCCAGGAACTTAGAGCAGACGCTCTCGTTAGTGGAGGTGAGTACTGGGAGCAGCGGGAAGGCTGGGAGCACGGAGGGAGAGTTGAAGAGGAACATACCTGCTCTTAATCCTCTGTGAGGGTCAAGGCCACCGTGGTAGTCTTTTAACCTTTTATGGCCAGAAGGCCTGGGTATGAGTTGTGGAGAATGATCATCTGGGGATGGAAATGGGAGAGGCTTGAGCCCAGGGAACATGGCTCAGCAGCCATCTAGAACCCCTGACTGAACAAGGTGTTGCCTGGCTACTGCTGACCATCTACAACCCACTGGAAGGCCTGCTGCTCCTTGGCGCTGATTTGGGAGGGGAACCAGAGGAGTTGAAGACAAAGTCTGCCCTTAAAGAGCGTGTGGTCTAGTAGGGACACAAAACCCACGTAGGACATGTTGTAACAGATCAGGAAGTAGTCACTGATACATACCAGTGCTGTCAGCCAAGTGCTGCTGGCCCACCGAGTGAAGGCAGGGTTGTTCAGCTGGAGCTAGTTGCCATGGTAGTGGGATCACAGAATCCCAGGATGTCAGAAATGGAGAGGACTTTATAGATTAGCTTAATTTATTTTCCACTAGGGAAATCACTGATTTGCCAAATTATTTAAGCTAAAATTTGTGAGTCAGCTAGACGGGTGCCTGGCAAATGAGTACATCCTCTGTGTTAATCCCTCTACCAGGGCCCCAGACAGGCTTAGTCTCAGAGTTGGTGTGACCCCCAGGTCCTCTGGCTCCCAGTCCATGTACCTTACTGGGGCCATAAGTCAGCATCATGATGAGGCCCTTGATCACCTGACATCCTGGGTGCCCTGCCTCCCCAGATTACCATCTGGCCCCCCATCTCTAGATAGGACCTCTCAGCTTCCCAATTTCTGGTCAGTAAGTCAAGAATAGTAAATTGTCTCTATTTCAGAGACTTTATTTCAAAAATGGATAAAGGTAGGAGGTTTATGAGTGAGTCAGGCTGAGGTCTTGGAGGAACAACAAGAAACAGGACGGGACTATTGGTTCTCATTGCTTCCTTATTGTTAGTGAATATTTCAGAAACTTCTCCATTCCAGTTTTCTGTGTGAAGTCTTTTTATTGCAGAGCAGCTCAGGAGCCACAGCATGAGAAACAGAAGGATTGGGCCAGCTGTAGTGGCTCGTGTCTATAATTCTAGCACTCTGGGAAGCCAAGGTGGTAGAATGGCTTTAGTTCAGGAGTTTGAGACCAGCCTGAGCAAGAGTGAGACTCCTTCTCTACTAAAAATAGAAAAACAAGCCAAGCATGGTGGCACACACTCGTTGCCCCACTACTTGGGAGTCTGAGGCAGGAGGATCAATTGAGCCCAGGAGTTTAATGTCATGGCACTCTAGCCTGGGAGTAGAGTGAGACTGTGTCTAAAAAAAGAAAAAGAAAGAAAGAAAAAAAGAAAAAGGTAGAGAAAAGAAAAGAAGAAAAGAGAGAAAATCAGAGGTATTGTAAGGATAGAGGATAGTAGGTCTTATATAGCTGCCTCACTCCCACCCCGACCAGAGAGCATCAGGGAGGGTGGAGCTGCTCTCAGCAGTGTTTCATTTCATGGTTAGGCTGACTCGGTCAGTACTTCCCCAGTGTCCCCTCAGTATCTCTTTAACTAATCTACCCCAAATTTCCTCTGGACTGGTTTTCAGGGGTTGGTTAAAAGAGCATGAAGAAGGATGGAGTTGAGTTTTTTTGAGATAGTCTTACTTTGTCATCCTCGGTCAAGTGCTATGGCATCACAGCTCACAGCAACCTCAAACTCTTGGGCTTAAGTGATTCTCTTGTCTCAGCCCCCCAAGTAGCTGGGACTACAGGTGCCCGCCACAACACCAAACTATTTTTAGAGACAGAGGCCTGGCATTTGCTCGGGCTGGGCTTGAACCCAGGAGCTCAGGCAATCCACCCATTTAGGCCTCCCAGAGTGCTAGGATTACAGGCATGAGCCACGGTGCCCATCCTAGATGAAGTTAAGTGGAAATAGGAACTGGAGGCCCAGGTGGAGGGACAGGAGAGCCCTAGCGGTAGTTGTGAAGGGACTCTGTTATTAGTCAGTGGAGGGCTTGAAGGAAGGTCTCCAGGAGAGTGAGGTGTCTGAGGAAGGAAAGGTTGCAGGGATATTACCAGCCAGCAAGTGGTGCCAGGGTCAAGAGGTCTCCATGGTCACCAGAGCAGATGTGCATTGTCTATTGTTACCACTTCACACTGAGATCCAGGATCCCACAGATTCAGAGTGACCATACAGCGCGCTCTCTCTCTCTCTCTCTCTTTTTTTTTTTTTTGCAGTTTTTGGTCAGGGCTGGGTTTGAACCCACCACCTCTGGCATATGGGGCCAATGCCTACTCCTTTGAGCCACAGGTGCTACCCTGTGCAGCTGTCTTTATGCACTCTCGGCAAGGTCATCTGCAGTGGTGGAGAAGCCCCAGAATAATAATAATAATTTGCCCCCCCCTTAAACTAGTGTTCTCTTTATGTTTCTTCTTTAACATTTATTTCATTGATAACAAATGTGTCTTAATGTCCAAATTAAGGGATATATTAGACGCTATTTTCTTCTGTAGCACCCCTTTTATTTATTTTTTTATTTTAGGTTAATTTGAGGGTACAAAAAATTGGTTACAATGTTTGCATTTGTTGGGTAGAGTCCCTCTTATAATTGTGTCCTATCCCCAAGAGGTGTGCCATACATCCTAACATTGTGCCCATTAAGTGGGAGCACACCCATCCCCATTCCCTCTCTGTTCTTCTCATTCTCCCTCCCCCCACCTTGAATTGATTTGTGTTTTCCTCCTGCGTTGGCATGTATTAGATCATATACTGGCTTCATATTAGTACTGAGTACATTGGATATTTGCTTCTCCATTCTTTTGATACTTTACTAAGAAGAATGTGTTTCAACTCCATCCAGATTAATACAAAACATAAAATCAACCATCTTTTTTAATGGCTGAATAGTATTCCACGGTATACATATACCACAGCTTGGTAATCCAGTCCTGGGTTAGTGGGTATTTAGGTTGTTTCCACATTTTGGTGATTGTAAATTGAGCTGCGATAAACAATCTAGTGCAGTGATTCTCAACCTTCCTAATGCTGTGACCCTTTAATATAGTTCCTGTGTGTCGCAACCCATAGGTTGAGAACCGCTGATCTTGTGCAAATGTCCTTATGATACAATGACTTTTTTTCTTCTGGGTAGATGCCCAGTAATGGGATAGCAGGATAAAATGAGAGGTCTAATTTTGGCCCAGTCAAAAACTCCCTTCCAAAAAGGTTGTATTAGTTTGCAATACCATAGATACTATTTTTGAACGATTAATCTTCTTTAGAAATATAATTGGACTGTTTTTAAAAAATGAGTAATAACTTATTCCAAGAAACTAATACTTCTCCATGCATTGTTCAGTATAGGAATTTCAGCTGACTCTCCCTACTGGCCCTATACAGCTGTGCAGTGATCAGTCTGAGTAGAGATGGAACAGAACTTGCACTGAGGGTTGGAAAAATTCTCAACATAGTTTAGCAGGTTGCAGGGATGAGTATAGAGGTTCACTTTGTTAGGAGCTGGGCCAATTTATATTTTGACAGCTATAAAAGGGGTCATGTGTTAAAATCTGAGTGAATGATGCCATAATTCTGGGGATATTGTAGCACCCTTCATTGATGACTACTTCTAGCCACTGCCTGGGTGGCCTCTGGACCTAGTGAACAATCCAGTAAGTTAGTGTTACCTACACCCATAATGACTTCTCTCCAGATTCAGGTGGGCCTAGGCCTTATCAATTTGTCTTGAATAAACCCCTATCAACTCCTCCTCCAACTGAGCAAAGAGCTTTCCTGCCTTGCCTCAGGTTCTATTTGCTTCTATGAAAAAATGGCAGAAAATATTAGGCTGCTATATCATTGATTGGATTCCACCATTCTTGGTTTCTTTTTCCTTGATTCTTTCTTGTCCCAATTTACTCTTATCTTCTGTCACCCTCAGATGTGGAAGTCTGTAGTGGGGCATAATGTATCTGTTTCCGTGGAGACCCAAAGTGATGACTGGGACACAGATCCTGACTTTGTGGTGAGTTTGGAAATAGCTTTGCTTTGTGAGGGTGTTGGGGGATGGTGGCTCTAGGCCATTCTGTGGCCTTTGAGGAGGTTTGGGAAGGACCTTCTGGGACTGAGACAGCTCTCATGGTAGGAATGATTGCTAGAACAGTTGGCTATTGTGAGTGGGACACACATGATAGCTGTTATCAACAATGAAAGGGGACAGGCATGGATGAGTCTGCCAGTGTGATTGACAGGTTATGGCAGGCTCTGCTGAAAGTGAGGAGCAGGTGAACCTGGGCCTCCTTGGGCCTTTGATCCAGGACTGGGGCTGGATATGTGTAATTTGGGGGGGATTGAGAAGTTGTACAAGACATAAAGGGGAAAATGTGAAGGGTGCAGAGGAGGAATGGAGGTTTCAGAGCTCACCAGTTTAATTTGTACATGAGGTCAGGGTTGGGTAAACAGAAGAGCAGGACTTCTTCTGACTGAAGAAGGCAGTGGTGCAAGGGATTTAAAAGGCATGTCAGTTGTGTGGCCCCCCTCGGTGTGGCACATTTCTTGCTACCCCTTATTCCTGAGTGCTATCTGTTTATTGCAGAATGACATTTCTGAGAAGGAGCAACGGTGGGGAGCCAAGACTGTCGAGGGCTCTGGACGCACAGAGCACATCAAGTAGGTGCCAGAAGGACAGGGGACAGGAGATGGGGTTATGGAAAGAGCCCTACAAAACTCCGAGACTTAGGAGAAGGCAAGGAAGAAAAAGGAGAGGGTAGTTCATGTCTGTCCCTGTGTGCCCCTATGTGTATCTTTGGGTACTTCCACTTCATGTCTCTTCTCTCATGCCCCCAAGCCCTATTTTTGTCTGTTTATTTATATCTAACAACTCTGGTATTTCCACTAATGAGTCTATTATGTGAACTGCCTTCCTTCCTTTGGTAAGGCATGAGGGATTTGAAGAGGAAGCGACTCAAATACTATCTATCTATCCATCATCTATCTATCTATCATCTACCTATCATCAGCTAACAATCTACCTATTTGTCATCTAACTCTGCATAAATGTCAATGTATGTTTAGAATGTAGGGTGACTTCAGATAGGTTAAGAAGGATTCGGTAAAATATCAAGGTAAAAAACTCAGAATAAATCCTATATATATATAAAAAAAAAAGAACATTATCATCTCCTTACCTGGCCCAAATGACTTTTAAAATACAAATTTGTACTTGACTATTTAACTGTGGTTGGAAGCCATGAATGGTAACATGGAAGAAATGTGAAGCTTAGAAAACCTGTTGATAGAAAACTATTTTAGCAACAATGTTTTAGGAGTCTTTAAGATTATAACCCAACAAAAACTTTCTCTGATACCAGAAGAGAAATGTATAGACATATCCAGAGTTTTCAGTGGGATATATCATATATTTGAGTTTAGAGATCCCCGCCTCTCTTCCATGGATTATTCAGGATCATCGAGGCAGGACCTCCAGCTTTGCATAGAATCAAAATGTCACATATTACTAGCAAGGTAGGCACACTAAATAGCATAACAAGAGCAAAACTCAACAACTAACACAACTACATACCAGACAGCAAGGTCAATATGATGTTATGCTCCATTTTGACATTTTTCCCCACACTCTGACAGCAGTGTTTTTAATTTTAGATTTTAATGAGTGTTGGTGGGTGACAACATTGCACAAGCAACACACTAGGAAAACTTGATACATGCTTATACAATTGAATAATAGTACTGTGCATTATTGTCTAATTAGATATAAATGGTTTGAGTCACACAGATGTAATGAACATTGTTCTTAAACCATGTAATTCTTAAAGCAGTCAGAGAGACAAAAAGAATGGAACAGGGTTATTTGAAAAGCTTTGTTGATGCTCTTATGTATGCTCGTGAATACTGCACCCTCCCCCCCAAAAAATTAAGATGCTTTCCTTTTCTGAGTAAAGGCTACTCAGCTCTACTGTCTTAGGAACTTTTGAGATGAGGCACTGTTCCTCTCCCAGTGCCTGTCTCCAGTATGGGAGGGAGGAATAGAGTATTTTAAGGAAGACTCCTAAATTCCTGCGATGATCTTACGGAAAGAGCTTGAGTTTAGATTATCAAATAGATTCAGATTCTTCACTCTGCCACTATTACACATGTGAACTTGAACACACAACTAAACTCAGCTTATTTTTTAAAATATTTTTTTTAGAGACAAAGAGTCTCACTTTGTCACCCTTGGTAGAGTGCCATGGCATCACAGCTCACAGCAACTCCCACTCTTGGGCTTAGGTGATTCTCTTGCCTCAGCCTCCTGAGTAGGGAGGACTATAGGCGCCCGCCACAATGCCCAGCTATTTTTTTGTTGCAGTTTGGCCAGGGCTGGGTTTGAACCCACCACCCTCGGTATATGGGGCCGGCACCCTACTTGCTGAGCTACAGGCGCTGCCCATGAACCTCAGCTTATTTATCAAATGGAGATAATAATAGTTACTCTGCAGATAGACGGATAGACATCAGTTGTGTATATCAATGTCTTGCGAGGTATTTAGCACTTCTTAGCAGCTCAGTGGTGTCATTTCTCTTTCCTGTTAATATAGGTTAGTTTAACCAGATCTCCTTTCAAAAACCTAACATAAACATATAAATGAATGACAGCCTTCCTTCTTCCAAAGTGGTGTTCACCTGGGCGGCTCTGACTGGTGTCCCCTGGAGTCATACAATGTGGCGACTCTGCATATTTCCTTGTTAACCTAACCGAATCTAGGTATGATAGAACAAGCAATGGAGATGCTTACACAAAAGCTCGTTCACCTCCCATCTCCCTACGCTACCAAGGTATAAAAGCCCAGTCACTGGTGGTAACAGGACAGGTGACCTTTTCCTCTCTGATTCTCAGTTCCCCCACCAGTATCAAAAAGACCTCTAGTGGACCCTCCAGTAGTAAGTCCCTAGTATTTGGGGATTCTCTCTGGCTAGTGTGGGCTAAACTAACCTTTAAGATCAGAAGGAATCACCAAGGTCCTTGGAAAGGAGGAGAAAATCAGAGAAGAGAATTGTAGCCACAGAGCTGAGACGACTCAAAGCAGGAAGAGGAAGTGGTTGTAGTGCTCATTAACCTCACTACCTCCCCCCACACTTAATGCCTTTTTTTAGGTCTGTTTTAAGTAAATTTAGTTTGGGGAGTGATTTGGTAGTTCAGTGAGTAGCTCAAATGATCCTATTCATCTCTCATCTATTCTGTAAAGGAATTGTCTGCTTTTCCAGGGTTATTGCCCTTGCCTCCACCTTCTTCCCCTCCTGCTTATTCATTTTCTTTGGTGTCTTGACCAGGTAAGAATTCTTATTACTCTAGGACAGTACTAGCAGGGAATTTTTTAAAAAAATCTGTTTGTTTATCTGTAAATCTGTCATTGGCCAATATTTTTGTAAAACAAAGTAAAATGAATTGCTAGAAAAATAAATGGACAAATTTATTTTTAGGTTCAATAGATATAATATCACTATGTCAAATTGCTATAATAGTTTCTAAATACATTCTTTCAGTTTTTATTCTTATTTCCTTGTGGAACAGATGCAGTTCAGCTTGTGGGCTACAGGTTGAATGGCACTGCTCTAGAATAGGCGTCCAGTACTTCCTGAACTCTGCCTGGCTCTAGGTTAGATCCTGCCTGAGCTTAACCTGCCCTGACATTTTATTTGGTGCCCCTTCAAACTAGTGTTCTCTTTATGTTTCTTTAACATTTACTTAGTTGATAAAAATTAATATCTCTTAATGTTCAAAGTAAGGGATATATTAGATGCTGTTTTTTTAATTATTAGTCTTCTTAAGAATATAATTGGACTTTTTTTTAAATGAGTAATAAATAACTTATTCCCAGAAAATAACACTTGGATGGGCAAAACTAATCTATGGGACAAAAAGCAGATTAGTGTTTCTGTCTGGTCAGATGTGGGGACAGAGTTTATTGACCACAAAGAGGCCTATGGGAACTTTTTTGTGGTAATGGAAATACTCTGTATCTTTTTTTTTTTTTTTTTGAGACAGAGCCTCAAGCTATCCCCCTGGGTAGAATGCTATGCTTCACTGCTCACAGCAACCTCCAACTCCTGGGCTCAAGCGAGTCTCCTGCCTCAGCCTTCCAAGTAGCTGGGACCACAGGCGCCCTCCACAATGCCCGGCTATTTTTTTTTTGGTTGCAGCCATTATTGTTGTTTGGCGGGTCTGGGCTGGATTCGAACCCGCCACCTTAGGTGTATGTGGCGGGCGCCTTACCTGCTTGAGCCACAGGCGCCGAGCCTCTACTTCTTGATTGTACGGGTGGCTATATATGTATTGTCAAAACTCATTAAACTATTTGCTTATCATCATCATCAACAAAGTTGATTTTGAAAATAAAAAAGTAAAGAAAACATCAAATGAAAGACACTGGGCACTCCTAAAGAGGTTCATGTTGGCTGCGAGTCTGTCATATATAGCTTTTATTATTTGGAGGTTTATTCCTTCTACACCTAGTTTGTTGAGGGTTTTTATCATGAAAGGGTGCTGCATTTTGTTGAATGCTTTATCTGCATCTATTGAGATGATCACATGGTCTTTGTTTTTGTTTCTGTCTATGTGGTGAATCACATTTATTGAATTATGTGTTGAACCATCCTTCCATCCTAGGAGGGAGCCTACTTGGTCATGGTGGATTATTTGTTAGATGTGCTGTTGAATTTGGTTTCCTAGCATTTTTTTCCAGGATTTTTACATCCATATTCATAGTGGTCTGTGGTCTTCCTTTTGTTGTATCCCACCTTGGTTTTGGTGTCAAAATGATAGTGGCTTTCTAGAATGAGTTGGGAAGGATTTCCTCCATCTCAGTGTTATGGAATAAATTCTGCAGTATGGGTACCAGCTCTTCTTTGTAGGTCTAGTAAAATTCAGCTGTGAATCTGTCTGGTCCAGGGCTTTTTTTTTTTTTTTATTTGAAGAATTTTTTATTATTGCTTCAATCTGGTTGCTCATTATTGGTCTGTTCAGAAGTTCTGATTCTTCCTGATTGAGTTTTAAGAGGGCATGTGTTTCTTTGTTCATTTCTTTTACATATTTGAGTTTATGTCCATACACATTTCCAAGGTATTCAAAGATGATATTTTGTATCTCTGTGGTATCAGTTCTAATATCTTCTTTTTCTCTTCTGTCTGAGCTTATTTGGGTCCTTTCTCTCCTATTCCTGGTTAATGTAGCAAGAGATTATCAGTTTTGTTTATCTATTTTTTTTTTTTCTGATACAGAGTCTCACTATGTCACCCTGGGTAGAGTTCTGTGGCATCACAGCTCATAGCAACCTCCAACTCTTGGGCTAAGTGATTCTCTTGCCTCAGCCTCCCAAGGAGCTGGGACTACAGGCACCTGCCACAACGCCTGCCTATTTTTTTGTTGTAATTGTCATTGTTGTTTGGCAGGAGGGGGCTGGGTTGGAACCCGCCAGCTCTAGTGTATGTGGCTGGCACCCTAGCCATTGGCACCAAGCCAATTTTGTTTATCTTTTCAAAGAATTAAGTTTTTGTTTATTTGATCCTTTGTATTTTTGTTGTCATTATTGTTTTCCCTTTTGTTTAGTTCTGCTGTGACCTGAGTTATTTTCCCCTCCCTTCGGCTGGTTTTGGGTTTGGTATGCTTTTCC